TTATCCAAATTAATTTAGCAACATATATTTTATTTTATTTTATTTTATTTTTTGGGCTTAGAAGCGGAGCCAATTTCGGGAATGCACCATTCATGACTTAGAAAATTGGAACTCATAAAAAGTGATTGGAAAAATTAATAAATAAATAAATAAATACATAAACAAAAATAAATATGAGTGTGTAGAAAACACATGAAGATTAATTTCCATGCAAAGATGATAGCCGAAAGTAGGAAAAAAATAAAATAAAATTGATAATGGGGCCAAATAATCCATTTATTATAAGATTTCAAAGCTAATCAATAGTAATAAAATATGGTCTAAAATACTTGTTACTTTTGTATTCTCTAGTGAATTTGGGACTTATTTATTTGACCAGAGTTTTGGGGATAGGATTGATTGAATTCTCTAGTTAATATATATATATATATAAATAAAACTTATTTACCAAAAATAGTAACAAAAAAAATCCGCTAAAATTAATTGCATGTCACTTTGGAAAATTATTTGAATGTTATTTACCATAACATCAGGCAGTATTAAATGCTCCTTTAAATGGTGAGTTTATTCAATTAGGGTTTATTCATTCTATTTTATCTTACCTTCCATAAAAATTATTCCTAATAAACATAAATTTGCTTATATAATTTTAAATCAATTACATCAATAAATAATATTAATATAAATATTTATCATTAGATAAAAAATAACATTACTTCTATACGTGTTATAAATAATAATAATGGCATTGTACAACAATAAATTTTTGAATAAAAAAATATTTTGGGTATTATGATGAACCAAAGTATGTAAAATTATTATTTTTTCTATATTAAAAAATAAATATATATATATATATGTTAAAATATTATTTATATTAATATAAACGGGTCATCAGACTAATATATTGTTAAAATAAAATTCTGAAAATATGTTCTAAAATACGAAACCCTGTGCATCGCACGAGATTCTCACTAGTGTGATATAATTTCGTGAATTTAAGGAAAATAAAAATAAGTATAAATAGGTTTAGGAGGGAACCTAAAAGCAAAATTGTGAAGTATCTAACTTTTAATATTTTTAGAGAAACCCACTAATTACTAAAAATGGAGGATGAATGCACAAAATTATAAAAACTACCTACTTATTAATTGCAAAAAAAATGACAAAAAAAATATTTTCTCCTATTTTTATTATTTGTCATTCTGACTTAATTGATCATTGATTAAATAAATATCGTTTTGGCTATTTTGTTCATATTTTTCATTTTTAACCCCTCATTTAATACACAGTGTCTCTTCATGTCACATCTCCATCATTTTCATAACATCATTAAATAAGGTTAATATTGGCAAGAAAAAAAATTCTTAAGGGGATGCTTGGATATAAAAATTTTTGGATTTGTTTGGATTTTTTGGTTTGGTTAGGTTAATTTTGAAAAAGGTTAGATGGTTAGTTGTGAGTGGGTATATTAAAATAATATTTAAAATATAATAATTAAAGTTGATTTGATATAA